AAATTGTGACAGGATAACAGCATGGCCCCTGCACACCTGGGTGGGGTCGGCAGCGCGCAGCGACCCCTCAAATGAGCTCTTCCTCGAAGGCCCAGGACAGCGCCTTGGTCTCAAAGCGCACATGCTCGCACCCGCTGCCAAGATGCCTCCCATCCGGTAGGCAAGCTGCAGCCGCAGCAGCTAAGAAGGGCCCAGGGACTACTTTTTGTTGAGTTACTCCAGGTGACATTAGCAGGGCTTATCATCAGGGGCAGGAATTGGACAAAGGATTGGTTCCATGTGATTAGTTTATAGGTTGGATCGGGTTGTGTGCAGAAAACCGTGCATTGGCAGGGCCGCACTCTGTATGAAATGGGGTGCGTCCAGGTGGCCCGTTTGCCGTCTTGCTTGCTTCCGCGCAACGTGGGAGCATGTATCGGCCTCATGCGGGTTCGCGTCACCATCAACACTGAAAAACCGCGGGCCGCAGTCGCGATGCTGCCCTTTGCGTGTGGCGCCATGCTCCATGCAAACTGCACTTTCCGACCTCACCGGGGCACACACACACAGCGCTGGTGTATTAATTTGCTCAGCGCCGCCCACGCGCGCGCTTGCGTGGGGCTAGCGAGGGCCGTGCAACGATATCTGTGTACGCTTTATCGGGTGCGCTCTTCGCCATGCGCGATCAAACGCGATCAAACGGACGATGGGACGGTTGGGGGTGCCCTGAAATGGCAAGCGCAGGGCATACAAGAGACGGCGTCAGGGCCCCCGCCTGGTGGGCCCTCCGGGAAGGATTGGCTCGGCGTATCACGGCATCAACACTCAAACTGGGCGAACCAAGTCCAAGGAGTCTGAGGGGATAAAGACTGTCGGCGGTCGGTGCCGCGGCCGTCCCGCCCGCGCCAAGGCGACGGGACATTAGTGCTCGAGTCATGGCAGCAGCGCCGGCGGAGTGCGGGTTGCATCCCTCGTCAGGGGCTCTGCGCTGCCGCCACTGTGGGGTCGGCAAGTGCGTGTGCGCGCGCGCGCGACGGGCACAGGGAAGAGTTGTCAGTAAGCGCCCGCCCCAAAATCGCGCCGAGGGAAGGCCGCGCGCGCGGCCCAGCCCTCGGCCCCAAACCCACCCCAATGCATGCCCGCCCTTGGGGGGGCGCGGGCGGTGAGACATGCGGCGTCCCTGTTGCCCGTCCCGGAGCCCCCCCGCAAGGGCGGGCCTTCGAGCCGCAAGACTATAGTAGCATTTTGCCGAGGCCCGCTGGGGCGCTCCAGTCAGGCGTCGAGGCGGGGCATGCATGGGAGCATGCAGTGATCAGCGGACGTGGTGCTGTGATGCTTTCCATAAAAGCGTGTGCACAAAACGGGGCGGCGGACGCGCGCGTCCTATGTATGTAGGGTGGGACCCATCAGATCAGTGATGGCACGCCCCAGGATAAAGCGAGCGGATTGTCAGCCAAAGCTGCAAGGGACTCCACAGCATGCGGCCCCGCGCCGCCCTCGCGCATGTTTAAGCAGGGCGCAGCGTCGGCAGCAGAGCGCGCGCGCCAGGGGCATACAGGTGGCAAAAAGGGGCCGCGGCGCGGCCGCGTCTGCGGCGCAGCGACAGCAAAGGCGGCCCGCGCAGTGGCACCCAGAGAGCGGCCCGGCAGCTTGGAACGGCGAGGCGGCACGCACCCTAGGCGCACGGCTGGCGGCGCGCCCAAAGGTGTCGCAGGCCTGCCGGGGGCATGATTAAAGGTTGGTTCCGCCCTTGTGAAGGGCTGCGAAGAAAATGCCTGGCGGCGGGCCACGCTGCCTCACCGCGATGGCGGTGGGGGCACCGGTAATCAGGGCACAGTCGTTGGGCGGCAGCGCGCAGCCGGGAGCGCCGAGGCCCGGCCCGGCAGTGCGAAATGCAGCCGCCAAGCCCATTCGCGCCTGGCAGCGGCGCAAAGACTTCGTTGAGGGACGGCGCGCAATGTAGTCTCTGGCAGCGATTGAGGAAAGCGTTGCAGTTCAGGACATCGCAGGGGGGCATGATGGGGGCCGATCCAGGCGCGTGGGGCCGCCCGCTGCCCGCAACCGCCCTCGCCTCGGTGTCGCGGCAGGGGCGCAGCGGACACCTCAGCGGGCACGGGCGCCGCCGGAGGCGCCTTGCCGAGGGGGCGGGGGCGTCACCAACACCGCCGCCGCGCTGGCGGGACAATGGTCGCGGATCCAAAGCTGCACGGCGGCCCGCCGCCCACGCCTGCGCGGGCGGCGCCGCCAGGGCGCTGCCGTCACGGCCAGCTGCTGCCCAGAAGGCCGAGGCAAACAAAAGCCGGCGGCACGGGCAGCTGCGGCCCCGCGGAGGCTGCGGCACCGCGGGCGTGAGGGCCGGCCCGGTCGGCGAGGCGGCCCTCCATGTAGCCTATCCAGTCTGATGGGGACTCGGGCGCTGAGCGCGTGCCGGAGCCAGGGCCTTCCCGGTGGTGATGCTGCTGCGCGAGCCCCGCTGCGGACGGTCCGCCAGGCAGGCGGTCCAGTTCGAGGCACACAGGCCGCAGCGCACCAAGCTGTCCAGCGGTCATGCGTGCGGCAGCGGCGGCGCGCTGGGCGGGGCCGGTGTAGCGGCGGACATCCTGGAGGGGGTGGGGGAAGGCGGCGAGGCAGGGTGATGCGAGGGGGAATGTAGGGACAGCTATGGCGGCGCCAGCAATGCAACGGCAAACGCGCCGCCGCGCTACGGGCCCGCGCATGCCCGCGTGGAGCGTCCCCTCGGCGGTCGCTGTCAGCACCCACCTGATCGTCGCGCGCCAAGGCCCCTTCGCTGGCGGTTGCGCGCCGCTTGCTGCACACCTCGCTGCCAGTGACGGGGCTGCTCAGGCGTTTCTGACGGCTGCCGCCGCCGGCTCGGTGGCAGGCATATGCAGGTTGCGCTGGGCCACATGCTGACACGCTCAGCCAGCGCGCCAGCGCAGGGGCAAGAGGCTCCGGGGCGAGCGGCGCAGTTGATGTGGCCTCGTCTGCGCCGCCGTCCTCGGCGCGAGTGCCCCCTCCGCTGCTGTCACAGCGGTGGAAGCAGCTCTCGTCATCGCTGGTGCTCGCATCTCCCAGCATGCCTTGGTTGTTGGGGCGGGGAACGCAGTGATGGGCCTGCGGAGGTGTGATGGTCCGAACCCAAGTGAACCAGCGTCCCGGCAGCGAGCGCGGGGGTTCATGGCCGGGGTGGCTCATTGGCCACAAAGCATCTCGAAAGGAGGGGCGTCACCAGCCCCGCAGGGAAACGTGGCGACTCGGGGACTTGCACGCACCTTGCGCGGGGCCCGGAGATGGTGGGGCCAGCACAGGAGAGCCAAGCACAATGTAGCCCGCTATTTTTCTTTTACAGCACGCGAAGGTGTCCGACAGGAAGAAAGTAGCACACAGATCGTGTACACGGCGCTGCCAGGGGTCGCTTGTTCAGTCAAATCAAACATAAAGACACGTAGAACAAAGTCCAAGTACCTGCTCAGGGATCGTGGCGCACACTAAGATAAAATCATCGCCGCCGATTCGGTCGACCGTTCTATCCTGGCCAACGCGGACACCCACGAGTGTCCCTAATTTTTTAGGAACAACAGTAGATATTTTTGTATTACGTTGCTGTGCTCGACGGACTTGTTCACACCGCTCTTGATTTGGCGCGCGATCATGCGCGAAGCGAGTTGCTGGCAGAGCCACACCCATTGCCGTCAGATAACACACGCAGATGAAAATTCTACGTGAAGGATGGCCGTGCCTTACGCACAGCTCCTGGCACCGAGCTTGTAACAATGACACATCGGGCACGAGTAGCTGCTGTCACCGGTACGGGGGACAAGGGAGGCCGTTTGCTTTTATGGTCCGCATCAGTGTGTGCGGCTGCCAGGCCACGATGTGACATGCAGCACAGGTTGAGTGCTTAGGACGCGGTAGCGCGAGCATTGTAGCAGGGAGGATATGTAGGGGACACAACACATGCAGATATTTACCAGGGGGGCCAGGGGGGCACGGGGGGCACGGTGGCGAGAGACATTGCCGTACGACTTGTACTTTGAAAAAACGGGCTCCATCAAAACCAGGCATGTCGAGTCTGTATGGCGCTCGTAAGCTGCACGGTGCTGGTGGGCAAAGTCTTGCCGGGCGCGCACATCTGTGAACAGTGTGCAGCTCAAACCTCCACCCGTTCAGCACCGGGACATACACAAGTTAGTGATTCGCATACTACTGTGACGGGGAGTGCCTTACCTTGTGCTGCAGTAGTAAGCACATCGGTTGGCGGCCTGGCGGCACAGACTGCGTGGTGCAGCACCAGCAGAATGGGCATGAGCCTGGCCGAGATACCATTGCTGCACCCCAGAAGGGGCGCTGCAGCTTGGCGCACCTGGAAAGTGCGCATGGTACTGGGAGATGTATGTAGTCCTCTATCTTTAGGATTCTCATTGATGCTCGCATCCGCGGCGCAATCAGGGCGCATGAAATGTTGGGCATCACAGGCGGTGCTTGGAACTGCTGGGGCAGTCCGGGGACTCGCAGCAGGGTGACAGGTCCGCGGGGTGGGTACGCGTGAGTTGTGCAGAAAATCTCAGGTGCTGGCTGTCAATCAGAGCCAGGTGCTAGTATAAACATCCATTCCCAGGTCGGAGATCTGGACATATACCTTGCATGACAAACACTCTCAAATCAACGCAAATTCAATTTACGGCCTTACTCGTTCCCAAGCATCAACGCTCCGCTCGGCCAAGGGCAGAGAGATTCGTCCTACAGTACTGTACGCTCTTGGCGCCTTGCCCAGGCTTAGGTATCAAATCAGGCAGCCGGCCCCTGAAACTGGAGACCACGTACATGGCGACGACATGTTGAAACACTGTGCACCCGCTGATGGAGAACGGGTGGGCCTGGGGTGGGCGCAACGTCGCTGCTGAGCTTACCAGCGTCGCGCACTGGAACACACCAGAAAGCATCGCTCAGCAGGACGCCATGCCGAATTGCCACCCCTTGCCCCTCGGGGTCTTGCGCTGCAATCACGTGACGTCACTGGGATGCGCTCCCACGCAGGACCGAGAGTGAGTGTGATCACTGGCACAAATGAAAAAGGGGCCTCATGGCCAGTCCATCAGGCTTGGTGCCGACTAGACGGGGAACCTGTGTGCCGGTGTTGACGGGCGCCGTGCCATGAGCCGCAGCGGCTCGGCACTGCACGCAGGTTCAGATCATGCTTGGTCTTCAACGCGTTTGCGCGCCCGACGCACACTGAAATCCCACCTCGGGCGGACGAATGACCCGCCGACGCTCATTACCCGGCACGCCCCGCCGCAGGCACGGCCACGCCAGACGCGGCGGCGGCGGCGGCGGCGGCGGGCAAGTCCATGGGTCTGCCGGTCTGCTGCCTGTGCGGCTGGCCGGGGGATGAGGGTGCTTGGAGGCAGCTGGGGGACCTCCACCACGCCCAGGTCGGGTCGAAGCAAAAAGGGTGAGCTGCGCCGCCGCATGTGCACCGGCGCGCGCGGCGTCCGCCCTTGGCCGCCAGCCCCGCCCGCCGCGAGGCCTGCCTGCAGCGGCAGGCGCTGGCCCACGGACTCGCGCACGCACTTGCCTCGGCGCCGCCCACCCCGACCCACGGCGCACGCCGCCGACCCCCTGTCGCGCGCAACGAAGGGGCGGCCCCGGCAAGGCAGCGGGCGCACTGCCCTACCACGACGCGTGCGCGGCCTACGCCGGGGTAAGTCGCCCGCGCGGCCCCCACCACGGCGTCCAGGCCGCCGCCTTGATCGCGCTCCGCGACGCCGCCGCCAGCCGCGCCTGCGCGGTGTGCGGCCGCCCGGGCGCGACCGTGCGGTGCGCCGGCTGCTCTCGGGCCGGCGGCTGCGCGGCTGCGTTCCACTACCCCTGCGCGCGCGTCGCCGCGGCCGGCGGCGCCGTCCTGTTTGCCGATAGCTTTGTCGGCGTCGCGTGCGGCCAGCACTACGACTGCATCCTGCAACATGCACTGGACCCCGGGGAGCAGCAGTTTGCCGGCCTGTGGTGAGTGCCCATGCGCGCGGGCGCGCCAGCCCCATGCAACGCCCGCCTGCGGCCCATGTGCGCGCTCGGCAGGTCGGCCGCGCGGGCTTGCACCTGCAGCTCCTGGGCTCGCATGCGCTGGCGCCGCTCACATGCACGGCGCCCGGCTCCCCCCCCCTGCGCTGGGCGTCGCCCTGGCCGCCACGCCTGCCGCCCTGCCCCGCCGCCGCTGATCCCGCCCCGCAGGCGCGAGGGCTACGGTGGCTGGGCTCGCGAGCACAAAGCGGCGGCGCTGGATGCGGCAGTAGATCCCTGGGTGCGCCACCTGTGGCAAGCCTATCAGGCCTTCCCGCAGTCCCCCATCCCCGCTGCCGTGCTCGCTGCCGCGCGCGCCGCCGCCGCCCGCCGCTGCCCGCCGCCGCAGCAGCTGCCCCTGCCTGCCTCGCCGCCACCGGGGCTCGCGGCGGCGGCGCCCCGCGCGGTCCTGGCGCGCCTGCGCCGCCTCGCCGCGACGGCCAGCCTCTGCGCGGCCGGCGCCGCGCTCCACCCTGGCGGGTTCGAGCTGGCGCGGCGTCTGGTGGTGCGCCGCAGCGCGGCGAACGCCGCGCACGCGCTTGCGCTCTACGGCTGCGACCCGCGGTCTGACCTGGGTAAGGCGGTGCGGGAGGTTGACGAACGGGCCAGCCGCATGGCCCAGGCCTGCGCCGCGGCGAGGTCATCGGCGGGCGGCGGGCGCGACGGGAGGAGGCGGTTGGCGCAGCGGCGACAGACAGGGCTCGGCGGGCGGGCGGCGCCACAGCAGACTGGGGGCAGCAGCAAGCGGCGGGACGCAGACAGCGCGGCGGGCGCGGACGGCGGCGGCGAGGACGATGCTCGTACGGAGCGGGAGGCGCGCGGCCGCAGCAGCCGCCTGTGCGGCGCAGGGCCCTCTTCGCCAGCGTTTGGCGAGTCACAGCTGCCTGGAACGACGCCCGCTCGGTCGGACGCGCGCTCCAGCGTCAGCCGAGACCGCGAACGCGGCCGCGGCCAGGGGAGCAGCGTAAGCGACCCTGCCGGCGTCAGCGGCGACGGCGACGGCGGCGGCAACGCTGGCGCAGGTGCCGCCGGCAGCAGCCTCTGCGGGTTTGGGCGCGGCGGGGGCTTTGGTCGCGGGTACAATCGGTGGCCGAGCAACCCTCTCCCGGAGGAGATGCCCCCGACGGATGAGGAGTGGGCGGCTATGGTTGCCGAGGCCGAGGCTGAGCCGGACTCAGGGGGCTCGTGGGACTGGACGGCGCCCGCCGACGCCGGCCCCGCAAGCCCTCGTGACCAGCGCTTGCGCCGCGCCGAGGCCGGCGGCGCGGCGCCCGCGGGGGCCGCGCCGGCGGGGGCGGCGCCCTCGCAGCGCGCACGGCCGCTGGAGGAGGCGCCAGAACAGCAGGAGGGTGGGCGGCGGGGAGCAGGCGGCCGGTCGCACGGGCAGCAGCGCAAGCGGCGCCGAGCGGAGAAAGTTGGCTTGCTGCCTGGTAAGGCGGGGCAAGAGGAGCGCAAGGATCAGGTGATGCTCCCGCCACCGGCGGCGCTGGCATCGAAGCAGCAGCAGCTGCCGCCGCGGGGCAAGGCGGGCGTGGAGGTGGTCAACCAGGACATTGATGTGCAGCAGCAGCAGCAGCAGCAGCAGCAGGAGGAACACGACCAGGACCAAGAGCAGCAGCAGCAGCAGGAGCAGCCGCGACCGGTGAAAAAGCGGAAGCCGCTGCTCGAGGAACAGGGCAAGAGGGAGCTGCGGCGACGGCAGCAGCCGGATGCGCCAGAGGGGGAGCTGCTTCTGGCATCGCCGCGGTGCGGCGCGCCCGCCTTTCAAGGGGCAGGAGTACCGGCGGGGACAAAGAAGCTGAGGCGCCTTGTGAGGGGCTGCGAACATGATGAGCAGGGACGGGAGCAGCAGCATGAGCAGCAGCGGCAGCAGCAGGAGCAGCAGCAGCAGCAGCACGAGCAGCAGCAGCAGCAGCAGCAGCAGCAAACACAAATGCAGCGGCAGCAAAAGCAGAACGGAGCCCCACAGGAACGCACGATTCCAAGGAAGGGCAAGCGGCCCCGGTCAGCCACGCCCAGCGTGCCAGTGGCAGCTCGGGCCGCCCCCGCCCTTGGCGCGTCCCTGAGGAACCCCGCGCCGTCCGCAGCGCCCGCCGCGGTGACGGGCGCCCCGCCGTCGCCGCGCAGGGGCGCAGCGCTGCTGCCGGCGGTGGCGACCATTGCCGATCGCGCCAAGACGCGCCAAAGGAACGTCAAAGCCGCCAGCGACCGCGAGGCAGCGGCGGCGGCGGCAGCGGCGGCAGCGGCGGCGGCGGCGAAGCGGAAGCAGCGGTCATCTCCGGCCAGACCCGGCCAAGGGACCGCGCAGGCGCGAGGGCGCGTGCTCGCGCAGCAGCGGGCCGCGGAGGCGGCGGCGGCCGCGCGGGCAGCGGAGGAGGCTGCGGAGGCGGCGCGGCGGGGCGCGGCGCTGCCGCGGATCCCCCAGACGCACTGGGCGCCTGTTGTACAGGAGCTGCCGCCACAGCAGCCGGGGGAGCTGCGGGCACTGGGGTTCACCTTCCACCCCGTGATCGCCAGGCTCTGCAGACGGGTGCGCGGGGGAGGGGTCCCGTGATGCCGGGGCGCGCGGGGCTGGGGCGGTTAGCGCAGAACACGGCACCTGCTGTGTTTGCGTTTGCTGGCTGTTTGAGTGGCTGTCGGCCGCCGCTGCATCGGCGCCACGCGGGGTCTGGGACCCTCACCGCCGCCCGCTGCTTGCCGAAACTCAGCGTCGCGCCGCGCCGCGCCGCAGGCGAACGAGCGGTGGCGGCTGTGGTGGGAGGCGCTGCCCGCGGAGCAGCGCCGCGACCCCCGCAACCACGTGTCCCTCGTGTGCGCCGACGACGAGGCGGCGCTGCGGCCCCCGCGCGGCGCCAAGCGGCCGAGGCCGTCCGCGGAGGGGCTGACCGCCGCGCGAGAGCGGCGAGAGCATGCGGAGCAGCGGCTTTGGGACGCCGGTGTGGACCCCGAGGCGCTGCTGACGCGGGTGGCGGCGCTCATCGTGGGGAGCCAGGTGGGGGAGAGGGCCGGGCGGCCGGCGAGGGGCGGCCGGCGAGGGGCGGCCGGGGGTGGCGGCGCTGCCGGAAGGGTCAGATGGGGTCCTTTATCCGCAGCTCGCTTGGTGCTTGGGCGGGCGCGGGCCGACGAGGACGCACGCGCCGTGATCCGACTGTTAGCGCCTGCCGGCGCCGGGCGCCGGGCGCCGGTCGCTCATGGGGCGCCTGTGCACAGTGTGATGGGGCCCGCCCCTTGCCAGGGCCCCTGCTCCGGCCGAGGCCGGCAACTTCACAACCCCGCGCCCCGCCCTCGCCCCGCCCTCGCCCCGCCCTCGCCCCGCAGCCCGACTTTGCGTCGCGCTCCGACCTGGATTCGCTGCCGGACGTCCCCTGCCGCGCCATGGAGGTGTTCACGGTGCCCAACACCGACCCCCGCGCCGGCCTGCGCGGAGGGAGGTCGGTGCGGGCGCCGGCGGCCGCGGGCGCCCGCTCCGGCAGGGGCGATTGCGCGGGCGCAGGCGCCGGCACGGGCGCGGGCGCGGGCGAGGGCGCGGCGGGAGGGGTGGCGCTGCCCGTGGGGTATGTGCTGGGGGCCTACAGAGGTTACGTGATGTGCAACCCGGACTATCAAGACCGCCGCCTGAGGTGGGTTACTTAGGGGCGGGCGTGAG